GAGCAATTCTGAACACAAAGCGTATTGATGATAAATTAGTCTAATATTACTCGAAGTGCGATAATTGGACTTTGCGGTAGTCCGGCGCCGGAGAAGGCAGCGGAGTGTGTTCCTACTGCTAGGCACTGGCTACCGTGTGTTAGAGGGATGTGCGCGTGGATGTGCGACGCCCAGGTGCGTGGAAGGGGTTGCAGGAGTGGCCACCAATTTGCACCCGGCCAGTGCAGGACGATCAGTGTGAGCGATGCGTGGGTTCGCTGTGCGTGGTGGAGGACAGCTGGAACCATGTGAGGGGGGGGGAAGGCAAAGCTGTTTTCTGACGTCCACGCGAGCGACAACGCATCGATTGCTGTGGCCTCTCGGTGGGGAATCTTCGTGCAGAAGCGTGGCAGTTGGGAATTGCGGGCGTTTGCGAAGAGGTCGATGGAGTGGGGACCAATACGACGATCCAAGATGCGGAACCACGGCGCCTTCAATGAGTAATCGTCGTGATCGATTATTTTGGAAAGCTCATCGGCGTGTGAGTTTAGCTGATGCGGAATCCATTCGATGATCAATCGTGTTTCGATCTCCATGCATGTCCGGATGATCCCCTGGCAGGTCGCGGTAAGGTCTGGACTGAGGGAGCCGCCTTTTCTAAGAATGAAAAAGACGCCCTGATTGTCCACCCGCACGAGTACGTGTTTCTTTTGAATCTTGTTGGCGTACGTTTGTAACGCCCAGAGGACACCTTCGATCTCCCTCCGTGTGCTGGACGTTGCTCGCAGCAGCTCTGGCATGGTTGCGCTGGCTTCTTCGAGCGCATAATAAAATAAATTTTCGCAGAAAAGATGCTTTGCATTTAATCGGGAATGTGGTCAAAGTGGCGCCCCAACTGTGAGCGCTAGCGTCCACATGGATTACAGCGTCATAGCTGTTTCGAACGTGAAATGGTGCACCATTGAATCGATCAAACTCTTCAAGCCAGAAGTGGAGCTCCTCAGCTGCACATGGAGGGATGACTACACTGCTTTTCCATGAGGGTGCATCATTGATCACTTGTAACATGGCGTGGCTGAATGCGCGAGCTGTTGCGCCAAGTGCGACTCCCATTGATGCGAGCATCCCTGTGACTCTGGCCACGTGGCGGACGGGGACTGGCCGGTGTGCCTGGCTTGCGCCCAATAAGTTCCGAAGTGTGGCATGCAGTGAGGCTCGTCGGTCTAAACCGATGGAGAATCAGCCGGTGTCCGTGTCCAGCTCCACACCCAAGAAGCGCAGGTGTTGTGATGGTGTCAGCTGCGATTTCTTCGCGTTTATCACCAAACCTGCAGCTTTAAGGTCCAGTATTACGCGATGGCATGTCGCTTGAGCGTGGGCTTCTGACTGGCAGAGGAATAGAATGTCGTCAACATATGGTACTACTCGAATGCCTTGTTCCCGCCAGCGTCGGGCTAGCTGCTTGATGAGTTGTGTGAATACAAATGGGGCTGTCGCGAGACCAAACGGCAATGACCGGAAAGAGTAAGTGCGCCCCTCAAATTCGAAGCCGAGGAATTTCCAGCACGCGGGGTGGATATCGATGTGATGGTACCCGGATGTGTGGAGAACATCCAATCCCCAGCGCGTGCCAAGTCTGCCACGCGGTTGAGCCCTTCGTACTTGAACTTTGGGATGATTAAGTTGGCATTGACTTTCCTCAAATCGAGAATGAGCCAGCATTTTTCTCTTTGCTCGACCACGTTGAGCGGACTGATACATGTGAGCTCCCCTGCAGCCGTCTCAACCGCCGCTCCGGCTTCCGTGAGTTCTTGGATGGCGGTACGTGTAAATGTAGCATGCGCGTATGCCCCGGCGTGGTTGCGCTCCCGGAAGGGCTGTGGTGGGCCAGGGCTCCATGGAAGCCAGTACCCCTTAGCGATTATGGAGAGGACGAGGCTACAAGGGCACCATGAGCTCCACCATGCGAAGGTCGAGCGCAGCCGACCGCACATCTGTGTGACGTTTTTGTCAGTGACAGCGAGCTTGTACGGGTCGCCGTCGCGTGACACCTCATATTGTTGTGCGCCTGTATATTTATGGCATGGCAATAAAATGGCACAGGGTATCGGATTCCTTAGTCAATGCATAAGCCGGCCGTGTGCATGTATGTGTCAAAGATAACTCGACAAAATATGAATAATGCTAACGGTTTTCCTTCATGCCATAGAGGGCTTGTGCGAATGTGTTGCATGCCAACCGACGTATGGGTATGATCCCCCTCCGTTTCACGGCAATATTGGCCCCTCTCTCTCTTTCTCCCTCTCTCTTTCTCTCTCTCTCTCTCTCTCTCTCTCTCTCTCTCTCTCTCTCTCTCTCTCTCTCTCTCTCTCTCTCTCTCTCTCTCTCTCTCTCTCTCTCTCTCTCTCTCTCTCTCTCTCTCTCTCTCTCCCTCTCTCTCTCTCTCGCCATGTTCATATTGTTATTTAGGGATGTGTATACCTCCCTTGCTTGGGCCTGTGACCTTCCGCACGTCCCTTCTCTTAAGCTCCCGTGCTTTCCTTTTCCTTATTTGTCATTATACGCTCCATGCTTCTTTGTGCCCTTTAGGGCCTGCTTCCAATAAGGCTGTGGCTGCCCAACCTTCCCGTAGATAGCAGCGGTAGTTCATATGAGGAGCATGTGATACGTTTTCTCATTCTCTTCCTCCTCATTTCCTCCTTTCCTTCTTCCTTCGTTTTTTTTGCTTTTTTTTTTTTTATTCCCACCAAGTAATGGGTCAAAAGTCCTTCAATTCATGCCACTAGCATGCCTTTCATCCCATCAATTGGGGCATACGGGGGACCGAGAGGCATTCTTCCTCTTCCCCAAAGCTAAGCTCATGGCCCTTTCATACTACCCTATCCTAGGGCTAGCCCATGGCCACCGCAAGCCCTAATAGGCTGCCCACGGCCTAAGCACTCGAAAGTGCACCGTGCATTATGCCTAATGGCACACTTGGCCCAATCCCGACCCCTACACGACGGGTGCGGGTCCTTGGCCTCCCTGCCCGTTCCGAGGGCATGCATTGGCGACGTGGCCTGGCTGGCCGCAGCGGAAGCACGAGCCGCGAAAGCCGTGGAAGCCGCCCGATGGCGGCGGTCCACGCTTTGGGGGGAACGCCGCCGCGCCGTGGTTTCCGCCGCGGTTGAAGCGAGCATGAGCGGCCGCCGCTCGGTCCATGGCAGCAACGTCCGCGACTGCTTGCTTGAATGGCCGCGAGGTGAGCAAGCTTTTCTCCAGGTACATCTTGTAGCGCTTGGCGACGCGTTCGTCGGCGGCATCCTCGACTTGAAACATGTCGAAGCGCGTCGCGATATCATCGAGGGCGGCGACGACAATTTCGAGACCGCCCGCCAAATCGCCGTGCTGCAGCTTGAACTCCGTGTGCTTCAGGTAGGCCCTCATGTCCTCCAGGACCTCCGCTTTCGCCTTCACGTCCGGGTGGTTGAATGTCGCCGCCGACCAAGTAGTGTTGGTGTTAGAGGGGAGAGGGGGAAGGTGTTCCACGGAAATAAAATTTGGGGCATTGACTGGAGCCTCACCATTGTCGTCGTTGGAGTCGTCGGTGTCAGCATCGGCAGCTGGCGCAGGTGGGGTGTTGGCCGCTGCTTCCTTGTCGTGCCGGTTCGCCGTTGTTCCTCGCGCTCCTTTTTTTGTTTTTGCAGTTTCCTTTTTTGCAGAAGCAGAGGCCGCTGGTAGTGCAGTTTCCGCAGCTGTAACGCTGACGGGCTGCTGCTGTAACAGGGACAGAAGTGCGGCGATTTGGTCCGGAGTCAACGCCGGAGTCAACGCTGGGGTCGTCGCGTCAGACATTGAAGCAGTTCGGCGCTTCTGGCGCTGACGCGACGGTCCAGCCACAGGCGCTGGCGCGTGCTGTGCGTCAGGCGCGTGTGGCGCCACAGGTGCTGCAGGCGCTTTCGTCGCCACTTGCGCCACGGGTGCCTCAGGCGCCACTGGCGCCGAAGGGTGCTGCTGGAGAGGGGTGCTCGAGTCTTTGTTGACCTCGAGCCCGCCCAACAGCACGTCCACTGCAGTCGGGGCGGGCGATCCTTCCTCTGCCCGCCGCTTGTTACGGCGTTCGCTCGTCAATTCTCGGGCGTTACGGTCGGGGTCGGAAGTCGGGGCCGACGAATTGCCGCGGTTAAGTGTCGGTGTAGACGCCATAGTTGAGCGATTGTAGGTAAAAATGTCGCGTAGTTAACTTGAGGGTGACACGCCTCTCGGTAGGCTGCGAGTTCTAGCCAGCTTGGACGGAAGCAAAAAACTACTCGAACGGAAATGTTGATTGAGCCGTTGAAAATAGAGAAACGTGGGTGGAGGGAAATGAACTCCAACCCACGGTTTTTGTAGTTGGAGAAGGGCGTTTAGCGCGCTTCGACGCTGCCAAATATTCGGTACAGGCAGCTTCGCTTTCACAATACACAATTTTGAAAAACACGAATGTGTTTAAAAATTATAATGTTCAGATAAACTAAGAGTTCTTACGCTGCACCTGATATTTTATACGTGGGACATGCTTCTCAACCAGTGTTACATGAAGAGGGGATTGGGGAAATGGGGAGAGAAATCGCGAGGTGATGGTGGCGCAGTAGTATTCAGGGCGACAAACAGTTGCAAACAGACCCGAAGGGCGACTGTACACGGTAGGTTTGTGCATTTCTGTGTTGCAGAAAGATTAAGTACGGTTCAGAACGAGGTTGTCCAAATCGATGGATTATTTCCAGTTAGTGGCCTTTTTCTTTACAGAGGCAGCGCACACACGTCATCCGATGTTACTTAGGACTAGTAATTTCCGAGGTCAAGATTATTAGGTCGAACTTGTTGCGCCATGGGCAATTAAGCTGTTAGCATCGCGTAGCAGTTCTCCGGTACCCACACCCACATCCACATCCACACACACACACGCACGCGTTTCCACGGGTCCCGCGAATTTCTGATCCTGCATCTGTAATCCTGCCGAGCTCCACCCGCCGCTGTTTCTTCACGATCCCGTCATCACCATGGCTGCGGCCAGTCTCTCCTCGTCTCCCCGTGCTTCCCTCCCCCGCCTCCTCTCCCTCCTCCCAATCTCCCTCCTCCCCACCCTCGTCCTCCTCCTCGCCTTCCCCCTCCCCGCGGCGCGCGGCGAGATCTCCGACGCGCTACTGGAGGCGGACAAGCGTGCGATCGTGCTGTTCGACACGTTCGGGTTCGAATCCAACGGTCATGTCGACATGAACGTGTCGTCCGTCGAGGTGCTCGTGCCGGAGAACGCGGCGGCGGCCGACAAGACGCTGATGGGGTTCTTTTTAACGACGGCGGAGGACGAATTGGAGTTGCAGAACGACTTCCAGGCGGGCCACTGCGTGCTCGCCAACTCGCACGTGCACCGCCTCTTCACGCTGCAGGTGCGCGCCGTGCAGGGGATTGGCATGCGAGGGGGGATTGCCATGCGACGGGGAATTGCCATGCGACGGGGAAACTGGCATGCAACGGGGGAATTGGCATGCGACGGGAAGTTGGCATGCGACGGGAAATTGGCATACGACAGGGAACTGTCATGCGATAGGAAATTGGCATGCAATGGGGAATTGCCATGCGATGGGGAATTGCCATGCGATGGGGAATTGCCACGCGATGGGCGGAGAATCGCCATGCGACAGTGATTCGTCGTGCGATAGGGACTTGCTACGCGGCAGGGAATCGTCATGCAACAGGGAGATGCCTTGTGACAGATCGAAGCAGTGGATATGGTAGGTGTCACGATCCCACAACCCCCAGTCCTTTCTCGAGGGATGGTGATGCTTGTGTGGAAGCCGTGCTACTTCCTCCCACCATGGCATGGCACATCTACATTAGTGGACGAGGGCCTGGAAGAACAACAGTGGACCGTGATTCATTACCCCTTGCCTCTGTGTTCCTGTACATCTTTCGTCGTCCCACGTTCACTACTCTGTTCCTTCCCCTTAATCCTCCGTTTCCCCTCTCCCCGTCTCACCGTTTGCAACTTTCAAGCCACCGTCACACTCCCCCCCCTCCTCCTCCGTCCACTCATCCTGCCTCTGTCCCTCCTGCCTCCATCCCTCCCGGCACATCACCAGGACGTGGTATCACAGCAGCAGGGTCCAGACAAGCCCTTCACCTTCCACTACTCCGTCCCAGACGCTAAGGAGTACTCTCTCTTCTTTGCCAACTGCCAGCCGCACGCGCGCGTCTCCCTCAACTGCTCCTTCGCCCTCTACAATGTCGCTCCCAGCGGCCGCATCGACTACCTCCCGGGCGGCAAAACCCAACTGCCCATGCTCTACAGTGCATTCTACCTCGCGTACATGGTGGCCGGCATCGTTTGGATCTATCTGTGCCACAAGCACTGGGCGAGGGTGCACCGGATCCACATTCTCATGGGCGTGCTGGTGCTGCTGAAAGCATTCACTGTGCTGTCACAGGCAGGGGAGTATGCGTACATCCGGGCGACAGGCGACCCGCAGGGGTGGAACATTGCGTTCTACGTGTTCAGCTTCTTCCGCGGAATCATGCTGTTCACGGTGATAGTGCTGATTGGCACAGGGTGGTCTGTGCTGAAGCCGTACCTGCAGGACAAGGAGAAGAAGGTCATCCTCATTGTCATTCCGCTGCAGGTGAGGGGGGTGGTGGGGAGGGGTGAGGAACACAGGGGAAGGTTTGTCGAGTGGGAAGGAGAAAAGAGGCCTGTGATAATCCTTGCAACAGTTGATGCTGAACCCATTGTTGCCGTGTGTTGTCAAGAGGGTCTCTTCGAAATATATTCTGCTGTTTCAGTTTTTCTGTTTCTATTGGGAACCATTAGGCAGCTAACCCGTCCATGTACGCCCCCATTCACACGTGCCTAATCTACAAGACGAGAGATTTTTTTTGGAGTCTGTTTCCTCATTACTTTCCCAATCTCGCTGTTTCTGCCACTCTGGCCTATCCGTTTGCATCCCCTTTCCTGCACTGTTCCTGTTAAGGTCTTTGCCAACATCGCAACGATCATTCTGGATGAGAGTGGGCCGTCATCGCAGTCATGGTTCACATGGCGTGACATCTTCCACCTGCTCGACATTCTCTGCTGCTGCGCCGTCTTCTTCCCCATCATCTGGTCCATCAAGCATCTTCGGGAGGCTGCGCATTCTGACGGCAAGGCAGCGCGCATCGTGGCCAAGCTACAGCTCTTCCGGCACTTCTATGTGCTCGTGGTGTGTTACATATACTTCACGCGCATCGTGGTGTACGTTCTGCGGTCCACCATGCCGTATCAGTACGCATGGACTGCGGATCTGGCAGGAGAATTGGTAACGCTGGTGTTTTATTGCGTTACGGGTTACCAGTTCCGGCCAATGGAAGAGAACCCGTTTCTCGCCATGCATGATGATGACACAGGAGGGGAGGGCATAGAGATGGATAAGGCCGCGAGCAAGCCACTCAAGGCAGGTGATGACGAGGACGATGAGTTTGACCTCTGAGCCATGAAATGGCATCTTCATTGATAATAACCTGCTCCGTGTCATTGCTGTTTGGTCAAGTGGCGATTGCTCCATGTAGTGTCGGTTCTTTGGAATTTACATAATCATTGCGTAAAATATGATGCATTAACTTGATAAAAGATTTCTAATCGATAGTGTAGAGGAACGAGGGAAGGCTGAGAGAGTACACCATTTTCCCTGCACGTATTTTCTGGTCACCGACCAGCCTCGCAGGCGAGATAGCGTATAGGCCAGCCGCGGTTCAGCCAGTTTGCAGTCGTGTTTCATCAAAGCTGTCATGCCGAATTCGCAAGCACCCTACAGGCGCGTGCTTTCCTTTCAGTTTACCTGGCTTCAGTTGAGGAATTCAGGCTCTGTATGCTGGAGAGTGTGAATGCGAATTAGCTGGTACTACTCTCAGGTTGTGCGTCACGGATCTGCCACTTGAATTTTCCACCTGCTATCGAATAGACTGGAATGCTGTTGTTAGAAACACATCAATGATCAAAGTGATCCGTTGAATGATACGGTTTTCTTGTAAAGCTTTCAAAACTTTTGGATTTTCTGGATTTTCGGATGCTCGGGACAAACACGAACGGCTTTATTATGGACGATCTCCCTGGTGTTATGCGTGACTGCCGAGGTTAAGTGTGAAGCCTGCCCCATCAAATGCGACCTAAAGTCTTCTCCCTCGACGTTGATGTATCCGCGGAACAAGCAAGGCGGCAACAGCATGAGTCATCTGCATCCCATCTACGTGCTCTTCTTCCTCGTCAACGCCTGCACGCTCTTCGGTCTCGTGTGGTTCAACACAACCTTTACCACCACCACTACCACCGGCAGCAGCACCAGCAGCAGCAGCAGCAGCAGCAGCAGCCCCACCACCGAGACCACCCTATCCGTATCAATTGGCCGCGGGAGGGGCAAGGGGGAGCGGAATGCGGGAGGTGTGGCGGGAGGTGTGGATGGGGGTAGGAGGGGGGCGGAGGCGGGGAGCACGGGGAGGGGCGGGGCGGAGCAGGGGGGCGGGTGGGAAGTGGGCGCAGAGGAGAAGTTTCTGTGGTACGCGTCGCACAGCGGATTCAGCAACCAGGTGCGGGGGACGATGCTGCTGTGCCCGCGAGTTCAGGCGGAGTGAGAGTGGGCGGAGTGAGAGTAGGCGGAGTGAGAGTAGGCGGAGTGAGAGTAGGCGGAGTGAGAGTAGGCGGAGTGAGAGTAGGCGGAGTGAGAGTAGGCGGAGTGAGAGTAGGCTAATGCTGCTCCCAATGCTGGCCCGGATGCCCTCCCAGTACTCACCCCGATGCTTCCTCCAGTGTTTCCGCCAGTGCCCCCCTTCCCCATGCTGCCCTCAATAGTCGCCGCCATGCTCCCCCCAATGCTCCCCCCAATATCCCCCCCGGTACTTCCCCCGATGCTCCCCCCATTCTCCCCCCCGGGACTTCCCCGATGCTCCCCCCAATGCTCCCCCCTATTTCCCCCCCGGTACTTCCCCCGATCCTGCCCCCAATGCTCTCCCTAATGCTCCCCTCAATGCTCCCCCGATTGCTCCCTCCAATGCTCCCACAAATGCTCCCCCAAATGCTCCCCCCAATGCCCCCCCCCAATGCTCTTCCCAATGCCCCCCCTTATACCCCCCCAATGCTGCCCCAAATGCTGGCCGCAATGAGCCCGTGCCACAATAGCTTTGAGGAGGTCTTGCTGTGCAGTGGTGCATCGTCTCAAGCCACACTGGCGCCCTCACTCCCACTCGCCCATCATCTGTGTGTGTGGGTGGGTGGGTCACAGCGCCCACCGCCCATCTACTCACTGCCCATCTGCATGTGCATATCCATGTGCATATCCATGTGAATGTGCATGTGCATGTGAATGTGCATGTGCATGTGCATATCCATGTGAATGTGCATATGCATGTGCATATCCATGTGAATGTGCATATGCATGTGCATATCCATGTGAATGTGCATATGCATGTGCATATCCATGTGCATATCTTTGTGCATGCCCATGTCCATGCCCATCATCCCCACACAACATGCGAGCACACACCAGGTGATGACACTCTCCCGTGGGCTGCACATGGCAGCGCTGCTGAACCGCACACTGCTCATCCCGCCCAAGCTCGCCCACTTCAACCATGTCATGCGCCACAGCGTCCTGCAGTCCGGCTTCCGCGACCGCGCCTGGGCTGAGTACTCCCTTCTCCTGCGCTCCCCTGTATGCCCTGCGTACCCTTCCCCCACCTCCTCCCTTCATTCCTTCCGCTGTCCCTCTCCCTGTCGCTATCTTGCACCACAATTCTGTTTGGTCCTGTGCCCTTCTGTGTCTTTCAATCTGCGTGCCTTCACACTCATTGGTTGTTGCCCTTTATTCTGCCTTGGAATGAGACCGCGATGCTTATTCACATTGGGAGAGAAACGTATGGTGCAGCATTGCAGTGGCTGTGCCTATGCCTATCCCCTTATGTTTGCCACCTCGCTCACCCACTAGCACCCATGAGCATCGTGTTGGACAAAAGGGTGTGTTCCCTGTGCCTGTGCCCTGTGCCCTGTGCTAACCACACCCGCCGCCCCGCTCCGCGCCCCTCCCCTCCCGGCAGGAGTACCTATCATTGGCCGACGTGGTGGACGTGGGCGTGCTACCGCCATCACTCGTGCACACCATGGACCTGAGATGACTAAAGAGTTCACTCAAAGCCGGCCCCCTCCACCCCTCCCCATCAGGAGGAGTTCTTGTCGATGGGCGATGTGTTGGACGTGGGCGCCATACTGCCCGCCCTCGTGTGCACTTTCGACCTGCACTGACTTTGCAGTCGACCCAAAACTCGCCCCCCTCCGCTCCACGCTCCCTCCCACCCTCAGGAGTACTTATCAATGGGCGATGTGTTGAACGTGGGCGCCATACCACCCGCTCTCGTGCGCACCATGGACCTGCGCCACTTCGTTGCGCGCCACTGCCCATCTTTGCCTGTGCCCTGTCTTCTGCCTGTGCTAACCTCACCCGCCGACCCCCCTCTCGTGCCACCCCCTCTCGTGCCACCCCCTCTCGTGCCACCCCCTCTCGTGCCACCCCCTCTCGTGCCACCCCCTCCCGTGCCACCCCCTGCCGGCAGGAGTACCTATCGATGGGCGATGTGTTGGACGTGGGTGCCATATCACCCGCCCTCGTGCGCACCATGGACCTGCGCCACTTCGTTGCGCGCCACTGCCGCTGCAACGTGTCTGTGTCATGCCCAGGCCATGCGTGCCGCATGCTCTTCCAAGGCATCGCCTTCTCAAACCAGGTCTGTGTGTGTTTGTGTGTGTGCGCGTGAGTACATACGGTCTTTGTGCTTGCACTGTGTGCATGTTGTGAGTTGCCATGAGTCGCCCATGCAAGTTCATGCTGTGTGTCTCCCATGTGTGCCCCATGCGTGGGCCAGTCCCTCACGCAGTGCTTACAAGTATGCGGGGCGAGAATCGGCGCATCCACCCCCACCCCGGCCCGGCTCTGGGGCACCTTTACCGCCCTCGCCACTGTCACTGCACGCACGGGTCTCTTCCAAAGCCACGTGCTGCTGCCCTCTGATCCAGCACTGTCAGTCGCAGAATGGGAGCGCAAGGGCGTGCTGTACGCGGTGCCGCACATGTGCAATGAAACCATATGGACCGTTGGGAATTACTCCAGGTGGGGGCCTTCCTCCTCACTTGCCGTGCCATTCCCTCAATCGCTGTGCTCTCACTTGCCGTGCTTTGACTCGCTATGCACCCCTTCAATGCCCCTCCAAACACCCCGGAGCCTTTTTCCAACGCCCCACTGCCCCTTCCACCACCCACCACGCCCGTCCATGCAGCAAGAGCGAGCTCCTTCAAGCGTTGGGCGGTGGCAAAGTGCGCTATGACCATGGCGTCTGCCGGGACTTTCGCCGAGATCCCCATCGTTTCCCTCTGCCACTCTCCGTGCACCTCCTGCAGCAGCCCCCCCTCTCCTCTGCCCAGGTCAACCTAATCGTCACATGGAAAACCTCTCTCTTTCTTTCCAACGGTCCTTGCCATTGAACAAAAGTTGTGCACTGCACAGCAAGGGTAAAGCTGAAAGGCACAAACGTATTTTCTTCATGCTTGCATGCCCACGTTTACCTCTGCCCTTGTCGCTTGCCCGCCCCCACTCGCCCCTTCCCTCCACAATCCCTCTCTGCCCAAACCCGCACATGGTTGATATCATGATCACGGACTTGAACCTTCACCCCACTGACCGCATGTTTACCTCCGCTCTTGTCGCTTTCATGCCCTCACATCCCCCTCCCCGTTCCATCCCCAACCCCCCACGGCAGGTGATGGCATTCGGGTCCATGTTTGACATTATGATCACAGACTTGAACCTTCACCCTAGCGACCGCATCAGGCGCTTACAACAGGCATGTACTCCGCACTCGCTTTTCCTGCTCTGCCCGTGTCTGTGTTCTGCCTCCTGTTGCCTTGTGCGAAACATGCAATGCAGTTGTGTCATCAGCACTCCCTTCTCACAACTGCCTTATCCACCTCCAACCCCTCACCTCCCTGCAATACCTATCACCATCTACCATTTACATAGTTTTCAGTCCAGTAAACAACCATATACACTCGCCACGTCCCCTTCTTTTTACTTCCCAACCACCACCACCAGCACGACCAGCTTTCCTCCTCCCTCTTTGCTCCTCATCTGCGTGCGTGCAGGAGTCAGTGCCGTTCTTCTCACGGCCCATAGTGCAGCTGGCACGGGACTACATTCGCAAGCACATGCCCCTCCCATACGCATGCCTGCACCTGCGTGCCAATGAGGCCTCCTTTGTGAGGAAGCGGAATGCCACTCTCAGGTACACTGCGACAAGGCTTGTTCGAGTGTGCAAGGGGTCATCCCACGCACGCAGCAGAGAGTGCAGTTTCGGATGCACCCTTTGTTGCTTGCTGTTGATTGCTTTCTGCGACTCGTTCGCACTGCCACGTCATGATGCATTACCAGATGCGCTATGTGGCATCGATCAAGGTGTGTGTGGTCCCAGCAAGGGAGAAATCCTCTTTTGTCCTCAGTACCTCTGGGGTGTCCCCTTCAGTCAGCATCATCTTTCTGCGTCCCTCGTCGGGCGATTAATCAACGGTGTCCTCACTGCCTTTCACGTCTCCCACAGCAACGCCGAGCAATCACTCTGGGAAATTCTGCAGCAGAGGGACAAACATACTCCTGGTGGAACAGCAACCCTGTCCTCAACGCTGCACCTCTTTCTCATGACGGACCTCCGTGAGGAGGCGTGGGCTGATCTGCTGCTGCCGCGCTTGGCGCGCCTACCAGTGCCAGTGCAGGTGCACACACTCGCGCCGTTCAAGCACCGCCTGCTGGCGCTCTCAATGCATCTGCGTGGCTACGGCATCGGTCTACGGGCGAACCGATTCTTCCATGAGGTGGGCTGTGACATCGGTGGCAGAGAGGTCAAACCACAGGTGGGACTGCTGTGTTGTGGGCGAATACGGAGGTCAAACCAGGTATACGGGCGAATCAATTCCACCCGAAAGGTGTGGCTATGCCATGGGTTCCATGGAGGTCAAACCACAGGTGCCACTGCTGTGCTACTGCCCTCTCGCCCTCTCCTCCCCTTCCCAGCCTCCTCCTTCCCTTCCAAACAACCTACACACGCAAAGGACAGGCCCTGGTGCTGTGCCTCTGCCTCACCATCCTTCAGGTCCTCCTCTTTGTCCTGCTGTATCTACCCTCTCACGTGAAACAACCGACCTTTGTACCGATGCACTCACAGGAGGACTCTTTTCGGCGAGTGGAAGAATCAAGCTTGGACGACCGAGACGAAGGCGATGGGATGACATTGACATGGCCAAAGCACACGGGAGGGGAAAGTCGGCACAGCTGATTCCAGATATAGGTCTGTTTGTGGAGGAGACTGTATGCTGCCACGCGTCCCTTGGGACTATCTTGACTGAGGGCTCCACTGTTAGCAATACAATCCGAATGGACCAGGAGGCTGGGCGCTGCACTTTGAATGCTCCCCTTCAGTAGATTGTTGTAATCAGTAATCATCTGCAAAGAGCAATGTATATTACCCCAGCTTTCATCACCGCTCATTCATCAACCTACGGTACGAATGCACCCGTCAGTGTTTTTAGGATAAGAGTAGCCCCCAAGTTTGTGATAATTAATCAAAGTGTACACAGTATTTGGCTCTCAAAGTACAAGCGCCTTCCAGAAAACGGCTTATTTCACTACAATGGTGTAGCTTGTGGGTATTGACCTTATTCAACCCTAAACATTTACCGTACGAGAGACATCTAATAAATATGATCATACAGTAACCACACCAGGCAAGTAAACCGGTATGAACAGCAATTGTGCGTGTCCTGTCCACCGCACAAGTGCTCTTACACCTGGCTGGACCAGAGGGTGCCTGGCTGCCACCTGGGTCATCCTAAGACGCAGTAACATGCTCACTCTGTAATATCCCAATTACGGTACCCACCCACCCCAGCGTCACATGCCCACTCCAACCACCCACCCACACTGTAATCCATCACCTCCATCCCTGCACACCCACCCACCCACACACGCACCCACACACAGCTGCACTTCTCGTCCCTCCCCATCCCACCTCTTGATCCGTTGCCAACGCCTCCTCCATGGCAATAAGGAGATGAAGGTCGGCTGGGCTGGGCCCATTCATTGCTGCGACTCACAGGTAGGTACCGTAACAGCGCATGTGTCGCACCGCCGCCTAGTAGCTCTGTGTGTGTGTGTGTGTGTGTGTGTGTGAGTGTGTGTGTGTGTGTGAGTGTGTGTGTGTGTGTGAGTGTGTGTGTGTGTGTGTGTGTGTGTATGGGTGTGTTGAGTCCAGGGCAGACAGCACTGCACTGCGTCAGCCCCACAGTGCTCCAACTGGCCACCAGCAGTGGCTGCTTGTGAGACACCGTGGAAGCGACTGCTGCTCACACCCATAGCGGTGACGACGAAAACATAGGGGGCGTACCCGCGACTCGTTCTTGCAGTGTGCGGCGTGTGGGGCATGTGTGCAGTGTGCGTGTGGGATATCCGGCATACCGGAGCATGTGAGACAGGGATACTCGCACCCCGAAAGCACCCAGCAAACACCCCGCCACAACCACCGCTGTGAGGAGAGGAACGAACGTGGGGACTGAAACGGCGCGACTCCTACACCCCTGCGCATGTCGGCACAATCAGCCCCATGCCCACCACCTCCCACCACAGCAGGGGAGCAGCAGCCGCTCAGAGACATCACGGCATCATGCACATCACCCCCGTGCCATCACAACCACTGCTGCGAGGAGAGGAAGGTGAGCACGTCAATGACCTGGCTCATGACTGGCCGGTGCGTGGGGTCCAGCGCCAGGCACCACCGCGCCACCTCCGCCACCTCCCCCCCACCTTGGCCGCACCAGCAGCAGCTACCCTCCCAGCACATGAAAGCACACGACCCATCCCGGCGTGCCGTCACGACCACTGCTGTGAGGAGAGGAAGGTGAGCACGTCAACCACCTGGCTCATAACCGGGCGGTGCGTGGGGTCCAGCGCCAGGCACCACCGCGCCACCTCCGCCACCTTGGCAGCGGCGGCGGGTGGGGGCGAGGCAGTGGTGAGAGCAGGGTCCATGATCTTGACTATGTCCGCTGGCTGCTGCAGGTATGGCCGCGCATACAACACCAGATTGCCCTCGGGGTGTGGCCTGGTGGGGGTGCGGGGGGGTGCAGAGGGGTGCAGGGGGGTGGAAGGGGACAGGGGAACGGGGGAGGGGGAGGAGGAGTAAAGGAATGGGGAAAGAAGTTGAAGGAGGTAGAGGGACCAGAGTGAAGGGATGGGTGACGGAGGGGGAGGAGATAAGTAGCAGGGATCAGTGAGAGAGAACGGGGGAGGGGTGTGTGAGTGGAAACGTAACGTTTAAGTGAGGGAGTGGGAACTGGTGGAGCAAAGTCTTGTAACATAACCCTAGAATCAAGTCTGTAACATCCGTCCCCCAGCTGCCTAATCAATGCTCCCCAGAGCAAATGGCAAGCCATAACTACATGAAGTCACACCGTGCACCACATACCTCACCTTCCCTTACACACCCCATGCTCCACAAGGCACAACCCACTCGCGGCCCCACTCTTGCCTGCCCCACTCCCCCTTGCCCCACTCCCCCTTGCCCCACTCCCCCTTGCCCCACTCCCCCTTGCCCCACTCCCCCTTGCCCCACTCCCCCTTGCCCCACTCCCCCTTGCCCCACTCCCCCTTGCCCCACTCCCGCTTGCCCCACTCCCCCTTGCCCCACTCCCCCTTGCCCCACTCCCCCTTGCCCCACTCCCGCTTGCCCCACTCCCCCTTGCCCCACTCCCCCTTGCCCCACTCCCCCTTGCCCCACTCCCCCTTGCCCCACTCCCCCTTGCCCCACTCCCCCTTGCCCCACTCCCCCTTGCCCCACTCCCCCTTGCCCCACTCCCCCTTGCCCCACTCCCCCTTGCCCCACTCCCCCTTGCCCCACTCCCCCTTGCCCCACTCCCCCTTGCCCCACTCCCCCTTGCCCCACTCCCCCTTGCCCCACTCCCCTTGCCCCACTCCCCCTTGCCCCACTCCCCCTTGCCCCACTCCCCCTTGCCCCACTCCCCCTTGCCCCACTCCCCCTTGCCCCACTCCCCCTTGCCCCACTCCCCCTTGCCCCACTCCCCCTTGCCCCACTCCCCCTTTGCCCCACTCCCCCTTGCCCCACTCCCCCTTGCCCCACTCCCCCTTGCCCCACTCCCGCTTGCCCCACTCCCCCTTGCCCCACTCCCCCTTGCCCCACTCCCCCTTGCCCCACTCCCCCTTGCCCCACTCCCCCTTGCCCCACTCCCCCTTGCCCCACTCCCCCTTGCCCCACTCCCCCTTGCCCCACTCCCCCTTGCCCCACTCCCCCTTGCCCCACTCCCCCTTGCCCCACTCCCCCTTGCCCCACTCCCGCTTGCCCCACTCCCGCTTGCCCCACTCCCCCTTGCCCCACTCCCCCTTGCCCCACTCCCCCTTGCCCCACTCCCCGCCCCACTCCCGCTTGCACAGGACTCACCGCTTGCCATCGATGGAGGGGCGGCTGGTGAGCAGCTCGAGCAGCAGCACTCCTCCCTGTCTGCCCCATCCCCCCTGCAACACTCCCCCTGTCCCTCCCTGCAACACTCCCCTTGGCCCTCTTCCAGTGCACAGGACTCACCGCTTGCCATCGATGGAGGGGCGGCCGGTGAGCAGCTCGAGCAGCAGCACGCCGAAGCTCCACACGTCGTTCTTGCTCGTCAGCTGCCCCGTCAGCATGTACTCTGGTGCCGCGTACCCCGCCGTGCCGCGCACCTGCTCCCTCACACATGCACACACATCCACATACGCACGCACACACACAAGCGCGCGCTTGCGCGCACACACACATGCACGCACACACGCACGCATGCACACGCATATGCACACATGCACCATGTGTGGTTGTGGTGCATGGGAAAGCAGATGTCAGTGAGGGTGACACGCCACAAAAGGCACCTGCCCACACACGCACGCACGCACTATGTGTGCTTGGGTGTGCTGGCGGGCAGATGTGGATGAGTGCTGTATAGACGGAGCTCGTCCATTGCAGCGAGCGGGCTACGGCAGGAGCAGGAGCAAGGAGGGCAGATGGAAGAGGCCAGTCATACAGACGATACCTACACACTGCGTATACCACAGCCCATAGCACGAAATAATAGCTCCCTCCTGCTTTTCCATTCCACATCTTCTCATCCCAGCCGCCCTCCCTCGTGCAACTCTCCCCACTTAATGAGCCCAGTCAGAACACTTGCGCCCTCACCACAACCACGCCACGCACATACCATGCACTCTGCCCTTGTGCGCCCCACAAGGCCAAGAAGAACCTGCCGCCCTTCAACTATAAAGAGCTGCCATCTAGCGCGTCCAATCGAGCCCCAAACAGGAGCCATGGTCTTTGCGTGGCAGCAGTAGCTTTTAGCAAACTGTTTTTTAAGTGTGTGTAGGCTTGCTTTAGTATAGAAACTTGTGAAGAACCTGCCTCCCATCTAGCGCGCTTACCCAATGCCCCTATGTAGCCGTTCACCATTCCACTCCGTCCCCCCCGGCCTCCTGCCCTGCCCTGCGCACATGCGACGAGGCTTTCAAGTCGTCCCAAGAGCCAGCATTCACCGTCCCCACCCCTCCACCCGCACTCCGCCCCCCGATCCGCCGTGAGTCAGCATGAGAACATACCATGGTGGAAACATACTCGGAGTCTCCCTCAGGCCCCTCCCGTGCGAGGCCAAAGTCAGAGAGCTTGGCATCAAAGGACGCCGTTAGCAGCACATTGGACGTCTTGAGATCGCGGTAGATCACCTGGTGGGGGGAGAGAGAGAAGGGGGGAGATAGGGGCGAGAAAGGGGGGAGATAGGGGCGAGAGAGGGGGGAGAGGGGGGAAGAGGGGAGGGGGAATGAGGTGGAGCGGCAGGGCCAGGTGGCAAGGGTGAAGGAGAGGTGGGTGTGGAGTGAATCAAAGGAGTAGTAGGATGTATGTGGTGAGGGCTCGTTGGACCTCTTGAGAGGTCGCAGGAGGAGAGGAGGGGAGACCGGGGGAGATTGAGGGGGAGAGAGGGGAGAGGAGAGGACGGGGGTGGATGGGAGACGGGGGGTTAGGGGGAGGGAGGAAGTGGGGGGAGTGAGAGGCAGGGCAACGGAGGAGAGTGAGGCAAAGAAGGGAGCAGAGGGAAGAGAAGAAACATGTGGAGGGATGAGTTAGGATGGGAAAGGGAAAAAAGATGGCATATAATTTGGGGAGAGTAGAAATGCAAGAAGAGAGGAGGGGAGGGGAGGGCAAAGACGAAAAGGGAAGGGCATTGTGTGGCACAAAATGCGGAAAGGAGAAGCAAGCAAAGCCTCTCCTCTCTCCCGTGGTGAATATCTCTCAACTCCATCTTCCCTCCGTGCTGCCCCCCCCTCGCCCCTTGCCCCACGCCCACCGCCACGCCATCCACTGCTTTCGTTATACCTCTGCTGCACTGCTAGCCTACGTGCCTCTCCACCACCCCTGGGCCTCACCCCCACTCCCCCATTCTCCCTCGTTCCCTCCATTCCCTCTCTCCTCTCCCTCTCCCCCTCCACCCACTCACTCTGGGTTCCATCTCCTCGTGCAGGTAAGCCAGTCCCTTTGCAGCACCCAGTGCCACCTTCAACCGCGTACCCCAATCCAGCACCGCGCCCCGCCCCCCACCTCCCCCTTGCCCCGCCTCCCCCGCACCCCCACCAGCAGCAGAGGGATCAGCAGAGGAGGCGTAGGAGGAGGGGCGGAAGAGCAGGCGGTCAAGGCTGCCGCGTGGGAGCAGCTCGTAGACGAGCAGGCGGCGGTCGCCCTCGGCGCAGCACCCCATGAGGCACACCAGGTGCGGGTGGCTCGCTGCTGCCAGCAGACTCACCTCCACCATCCACTCCTTGTGCCCCTGGGGGGTGGGGTGGTTGGAAGGGGGGGGGGTTTGGGGGGTGGGTATGGAGAAAGCGGATAATGAGGTGGGAGGAGATGGGGGCTGGAGGGGAGGGGGGGTGAGTGGGAGGGAGGAGGGAGGAGATGGCTGTGCAGTGGGTGTACTGCTGCCTGTTGCATCGGTCGCCCTCAGCGCAGCACCCCATGAGGCACACCAGGTGCGGGTGGCTCGCTGCTGCTAGCAGACTCACCTCCACCATCCACTCCTTGTGCCCCTGGGGGGACGGTGGCGGGGGGGGTTGGTTGGGGAGAGGGGGAATGGGGGTATGGAGAGAGGGGGGTGGTGAGGTGGTGGGAGAGTGGGGTTGGGAGGGGGTGGGTGAGGGGGAAGGAGGGAGTAGGTGGGTGCGCAGTGGGGGTGCTGTCAGCGTTGTTGCATCGACGCTGTGCAATTGGGAGAGGCTGGACCGTAAGTGTGAGTGAGATGGGAGTGCATGTGAGAGTGCGTGTGAGTAAGAGAGGATGTGCAGTGAGCGTGCACGCACGTGCTTTCATGTGCAGGTACTTCGGGGCGTGGGATCGCAGGTATGTGCAAGAGGCAAGAAGATGTGTGTGTGTGGGGGGGGGTGGGAAGGGCACATGTGTGTGCATGTGCGTGCATGTGGAGGAAATGAGGAGGAGGAAGGGAGAGGGAGGGGGGGCTGGATGAAGTGTCTATGTGTGTGTGCGCATGCGTGTGTGTGTGGGCGTGTGTGGGCGTGTGTGGGCGTGTGTGGGCGTGCACTTGTGGTGAGCAGCCACTCGTGTGAGCAAGGCAGCCCAGCCCTCGTGGCGGAGCACGGCGCTCACCTGCATGCTCTTGCTATTCAGCTTCTTCACAGCCACCTCCACACGCCCGCCCGCTCCCTGCTCCCCCATTTCCCCTCTCTCCTCCGCCCCCTCACCCTCGCGCCCACCCGTCTCCAGCGCGATTTCGCCACTGTTACCACCTTCGCCAGCGGGATTCGCGAGGGAAGGCAGAGCCACCTCCCCTCGATACACCCTCCCGAACCCCCCACTTCCCAGCAAATTCTCCGGCGCGAAATTTTTGGTGGCTGCCCGGAGTTCCGCATATGAAAAGATGTGCAGGCGATGCCGCAGCTGCAGCTCCCTTAAAGCCTCTATATCCGCGCTCTCCAAAGGCCCTCTCTCCCTCCCGCTGCTGCTCCCCGCGCCACTCCGCCCCCTCTCCCTCTCCCCCTTCCCCTCCCCTCCCCTCTCCCCTCTGTCCCTCTCCCTGCCCTTTTCCTTCTCCTTTACCGAAGGGCTCTTAGGCGGGTACGCGCTCGGCGTATTAGGCGCAAGAGGCGGTGTAGACGCGGTGGAAGAAGAGCTATTACGGGAGAAGTTTCTAGTGAGGATGCCGGGCAGGTTGGATCCGCCGCCGCCGGGGAGCGGAAGCACGGCGGACGACGGCCCTCTCCCCGACGACGACCCCCGCCGCCCCGACGAGGAGCCCGCGGACAGCCCGTCCCGGCGCAAGCTGCGCCCGCTCGCGCTCCCCCCGCCGTCGCGCGACGATGGGCGGGAGGACCCACCGGAGGAGGAGGACTGCGCAGAGGGGCCGGGGGAGCTGCGGGAAATGCGCGGGGAGGAGGAGGTGGAGGAGGAGGAGTGGCGGTGGTGGTGGTGGTAGGACGACGAAGGGGTGGTGGAGCGGCGGAGCAGCGGGTGCTTTCCGGGGCCCGCCACGTCTGCCGCCGCGGACCCGCTGCCGGCGGAAGCAGCGCCGGCAGCGGCGGAGGGCGCGTGTTTGGAGGTGCGGAACATGGGGCTGGCGGGCGCGCTCATGAATCCCCCCAGCATGCCCGCACGCTCCTGCTTCCCGTGCTTGGAGTGTTTCGAATGCTTCGACGCCTGCTGCTGCTGCTGCTGCTGCTGCTGCTGCTGAAACTGTACGTGTCGTGCTGCGCCGCTGGCGACGCTTATCGGCGGAACAGGCGAGCTGTGCGACCGTTCGCACGCGGCAGGCTGGGCAGCCATGGTTGCTCGCGCCTCCTCCAGCTCCTGCTGCTCTCTCCCTCCCTCCCCGTCCTGCTGCTGTAACGTTTGCTCTAATTGCTGCTGCAATCGCAGCTGTAGCTCCTGCTGCTGCGGCTGCTGCTGCTCGCTCTCCTCCAAAGCCCCCGCTTGTCCCAACGCCGTGTCACTCCCTCTCCCAGACCCGTTCCTAGATCCAACCCCCAACGTATTCTCCTCCGCGTAACCCTCGCCCGTACGCTGCTCCGCCGTGTTCCCCTCGCGCATCCGCCGATGCTGCTCCCGCTCCAACGACTGCGATGCATCCACATGTTGCGCTTGCGCCTGTACCTCCTGCTGCTGCTGCTGCGGCTGCGACTGGCGTCGCTCCTTCTCCTTGCTCTGGGACCGCGGCACGCCTGGTCGCACACCGTACCCGTCGTGCTCGTCGCCGTCGTCGCCCGCGTCGTCCACGAGCACGGGCCGCGTGCAACCGTGCCACGAGTGCCCGTGCACGCCGCGGTGCTGGTGGTGGTGGTGTCGCGGCGGGCTGTCGTCCCGAATGACTTGCCCGAACCGAAAACAATTCATACTGCCCGGGCGCGGCCCGTTAGGATCACTAAACCGTCCGGCCTGGTCTAGTGTAGTGCGCTAAGGTGTAAATCCAGGAACCGGAGAAGTCGAACCGCTCTTGAGAGACGAGACGCGAGTCGTTTAGAAACCACACGGAGAGATCTGGTAGTAGTGGGTTACATTCGCAGGACCGGTTAAACTAGAAGATCGAGCAGTACAGGAAGGACATGTGCATGAGCGGATCTGGCGGGATCCCATGACCTCGAAAGGTCTCCCTAGCATACATGCGGAAGGTTCCACCGGGCTTCGAAGCCTAATGCGCTTGATCTGACTCGTTACGACGGTTCACGCGAAAGCCTCAAGGCTGGTTCAAGCGACTCGAATGATAGCCGGATGCAAAGCGACACTGATCGCGAATGTTATGTGCCTTCACGCGCCGTTGGTGCATTCGGTCTGTCCCGTGTGGGCGCAAAGAAACCCGTGTTGCCGCGCCAAGCGGTCTGCTTGTAATGATGGAACACCAGGGTGGAGCAGAGAAAGCACAGACGGAGGACTCGAACCGACCCCCCTGGACAAGTGCACTAGTACAGTAACAGTGTTCTTGGCAACTTGGCTTCCATCCACACCTCCAATCCTCCATGCATGCATGCTTGCAGCAGGTCAGTTCATCAGGCTGTCCGTTACCCGACCATGATAAGTGAGGGAGCTGCCTGCCGCGCATGCCGTTCAAGATGACATATTTGTGTCAGATGTCATTTCTGTAGGGATGTTTCCTCTTTATGACATATTCTGCTACCCAAACATCATCACACCAGATTAAGGAATGGATACATGCTGTAAACTTTCAAATAAGAAGAATAAGATCGTACATTTGTTACTTCATATTAACGTTCTGGCATGCTAGGCTTTAGTGAGGAATATCTTAGGGAGTACAGTCTGTTTAGCGTTTCATATTTGTAGCCCATGCATTTTAGTCATCACCACTCCGCCATCGTACTCCGACATAGTATCATCGTCGCAAATTCATAGGATCCTAGCCCACCCACCTCGTTAGCTCGTTCGTTTGTTTCGCCGGCCTCACTCTTGCTCCGTTCGTTCGTTCCGTCGACCTGCCAATTGTCCAGCTAGCCAGCCAGCCAGCCTAGTAGCAATGTGTTATAATAGCGTGTCCGGCGTCAGTAGCAGCCCGAGCTACAGCAGCACGCAGCGCGCACTCCGGCCTTCAGAAGCGCGTGCCTCTAGCCATAGAAGAAGCGCACGCCCTCCTTCCTTCCTTCCCTACGGTACACGCCCTGCCCGTAGGCAGCTAACGCCCTGCCAGAATGAGAGCATGCCCCATCGTAAGCAGTGCGCACCCTGTTAGAAGCATTGCTCGTAGCTGCAGCAGTGCACGCAGCCCGCGCACACAGCAGCGTACCTCCGCATGCACACCAGCATGCGTTCAAGCACACAGCAACCATCGTCTGCACGTGCTGCAACGACGCACGCCAGCGAGCGCCTCTGCCAACGCATTAGCAGCGCGCGGGCGCGTGCTCTAGGCATATCGCGCAACCTAGCCAGCAGAATTCGCGCATGCCTCACCAATAGATCGCGTGCGTGCCCTGCCAGCGCAGGGCACCAAAAGAGCATACGCGTGCCTTAGCCTCCAGCAACACGCACGCGCGCGTCCCAACCAACAACATGTTGACAGGAAATGGTCCTGCTTGGCGAAGCCGACTAAGCCGGGTGCACCGGAGGTGCAGCTGGCTGCAGTCAATGGTCAATGTTGACTTGCCGGAGGGAGTCAACAGACTTTGTCAACTTCTGTGGCACCATTGCGAAGCCGCCGACAACGGGAAGTTGGGGGCCGACATCGGCTTGGTGGTCGTCGAAGGTGATCGTCAACCTGAGGGCGCCGGTGACATTACCCGGTCAATTTAGTTACATGGTCAACGAACTCCCGCGGGGGTGCGTGGAGTCGCCTAGGAGGTTTTGGCCAAATCGAATTGCGGACTGGTATTTCGAGGTCGACGTGGCGCATCTGATGCAACCATCGGCACATGACCGACTTGGCACTTACGCGGCGTATATGGAGGTGCGCGATGTGCACAACGCTTACAAGCACCTACAAAGTAGAAGCTCGCATATACGCTTACAGTCATATGCGGTTGAATCGCTGGCGGTTCGCCCTACTGCAGCATTGGCAAGCACACCCTGGTGCAGTGCTGGCAAGTCGTCGACTTGCAACGTTGGCAAGTCGCCTCCAAGTCGACTTGGTACGGTGTTGACTTACTGTGCTCGCAGGCCGCCCCCGTGTTGCACTAAAAATTGGCCTGTCTGTATGCTAATAATTGGCCAAGCCTCTGATGTGGTCAGCATTGTTGCCAATTCCTATTGCATCATTGTTGTCAGAAATTCTTAGTGAAACCCTTTTGCTCCATGAACCCACACATAAGAACGATATAATCATTTATACCATCCGTTCTTTTCCCCATATTCCAGTGACTCTCCGCCTGGTGCGGTGACAGTGGACGGCCCCACAAAGTACCTTCAAAGTAGTATTCGACTTTACCACATACGTGAGCCGTTGTCACGACGGCAACCCGTTCAACCATGACGCCCACCCCTGTAGAAGCCGTTGGTGTAGCGGACACCTTGGAGGTGCGAGATGCTGAAGTTTGGAGGTGCCACGCGGCTGGAGATTTCGGTAAGGCCCCCTTGAAGATAATGCTCCTAGGTACTCGTGCGCGCTGGGCTCGTCGATCACCCCCCTCCCCATTGTTAACGGGAGTGAAGTGTTGGCCCCGCCCTCGCTTGGGCAACGCCGATGAATTGGTCGGATGTACGGGAGAAGCAGCCGACCGTTCGCAGTGAAGGAGCTGCTCGACGGGCTTCGTCGAGCTGCAGGGTGTCACTGTGGGGTTTCCGTCGACCAGGGGTGCTCGACGGGTGAAGCTGACTGAGCTGGGCGACGGGTGGGCCGTCGACCAGGAGTGCCAGTACGACGGGGAGGTCGACGGAACCATCCGACTGTCAGAATCCCAGTCACTAACCACTGGGATAAAAGGGCTTGTTTATATAGCGGGTGAGTGCGCTCATAACCCCCCAGGCCAACATGCCTGTAACCCTTCCCTAGGATCAATCGGGGATCACCAGTGGCACTCTGACACCCCCCCGCACTGGGATGCCCGAAGTGCACACACCGGGATTCGAACCCGAGACCTTCGCTCTGATACCATGTCAGAATCCCAGTCACTAACCACTGGGATAAAAGGGCTTGTTTATATAGCGGGTGAGTGCGCCCATAACCCCCCAGGCCAACATGCCTGTAACCCTTCCCTAGGATCAATCGGGGATCACCAGTGGCACTCTGACATCGACGACCTGACAAGTGAGCCGCGGTCGACGAGGGGAGCTCGGAGACAATGGTTAACTGTGCTGGTTGACGGAATGGGTCCATCGACCAGGGAGATGCTCGACGGGAGCTGTGGTCGACCAGAGTACTTGGTGCTCGACCAGAGGCACCTAGTGGTCGACCAGAGGCACCTGATGATCGACCGGAGCACCTGGTGGTCGACCGGAGCACCTGGTGGTCGACCGGAGCACCTGGTGGTCGACCGGAGGCACCTGGTGGTCGACCGGAGCACCTGGTGGTCGACCGGAGCACCTGGTGGTCCCCTTGAAATCCGGTGTATCTAGCGTGCCCACCCGTCGCCATTTTCATCGCCTGTGGTTAACCACACTAGCAACCCACCAAAAGGAGGTGCTCTTTTGTGCGGAACCTAGAACTATGGGTCTACCGGGACCGAATTTCACGGAACCTAGCCCGCATCAACGCCGCAGATCTCGCCGTAGAATTTCCCCAGATTGCTTCGAAGTACACCGTAAAGCGTTGAAATCATTTGGCAAGCAGACGTTCACCCGTCTCCGACCGTAGCAATGAACCCCGAAAATCATGGTTGTTGAAGCAGTCCCGAAGTATTTTCCGCCATGTAACCCCGACGTTTCCGCCATTGACCCTGGTACTCCGACGTTCACCCGTCTTCATACCCGCCGAAATCACTTAGCGAATCCCAGGTATCCAGGGCGGTACACCCCTCGCCGCGCCTCCATGTCAAAATTTCAAACCATTTCGGGTGTCTATCGAATAGACTCCGAAATTCGCGGTGGAGTGGTGTACGGGCTCATCCTTCCACATCGTCTATCGAGCTTAAAACTCCACAGCTTCGGAACCCCCTTCTTCTCTGCTACACCGCCTTCGGGTAGACGTTGAATTACGAGAAACTCCGACAGCTGCACCAATTTTTCCAGCTCCGACTTTTTCGGCGGGGTAACTGCTGCCGATGGTCCGGTTTTGTCGGGGCCGAACAGTGTCGCAATCTTGAAAATTTATTGTACGCCCAGCTGTCGGACTTGCGCAATACCCACGCTTTTTAGCCAGCACAGGGCTAAACACAGGGCCCCACGTTATTCGTCCAGTGCCCTCTAGGACTGTCACCACTTAGGCCGCTTTCGAAGCTACATGGTGTGGGGTATGTGAAACGTCCGAAACCCACGGCCGGTAGTGGTACCCATCCGGCTACCGCCGCTTAGCCGCAAACGTTTAGGCATCAGCTTGAGCGTTTCCCCGTGGGTCGTAATTCTCGCCTCCTGAAGCTCGAAACCCATTTTTCTCGCTGGACCGAAAATTGCGACGACTAAACATGACGCAACTCCGTGTATTGTAGCCGGTAGAACCCCCGAAAATCGCGGGTCTAAACACTGCGCCGAAACGTTGTCCCGCTGGTGTACTGCCCTGTCTGCGGCGCAACTACCCTTAATCAGGAAGTACTGTGTTGCCTGAAGTACAGAATCGGCTGGTGCTGTTGCTCCGAAAATTTCGCCGATCGTGGTGCAGGTGCAGCAGTGACCCTCGCGATAGACAGTCTAGTCGTAGGCGGCTTGTTCCGATCTTTTCGGTGGTTTGAAAAACAACTTCCGTCCCACAATGTGCCGCTCCTGCCGAAAACGCCAACGACGCACCCTCCTGCAGCCACACCAGCCACAACCGGGCGGGACGTCGGTAGACCCCCGCTTTCTTCGGGCAGTCGCCACGCCGTCTCTCCTCGCTGTTGCATTTTCCGACGCAAAACACCATGCGCCTGGCCTGCCCAGCCAGCTGCCGTTTCACACGTAAAGCCACACGAAATCTTTGCGCACAGTGACGACGGTCACAACGTGCCGAAGACCTCCAAAAATCTCGTGCAACGTGACGATAACGCCTGTCACCACTTGCCGTACGCACTAACTCGCGATTCTGTCGTGTGTAGTTGACGACCACGTGACGAAAGCCAACTCGCACAACAGTAACGACCTTGATGCTTCCGAAAATCTCACGCATGATGTGACGACGATCTGCCTGACGTCAACTGCCGCATAAGAACAGCGCCGAGATTAGCGGAAAAGACGAAAACAACAAACGCATTCAATGTGCAACAGTCACATCTATCCACCACCCGGGGGGAGGGAGGTCACGGTCCATCTCGACCGTCGAGGGCAAGGATCCGTCGGTGCCGCAGGAGCGCCTGTGAAAATCATGGCCGCAAGGAGCAACTACCCGTTCTCCTGGCCGGCTATCGCGCTGCTCCTGGACCCCACGGCATCCTTCCCGTCCCCCCCCCCCCCGAGGGGTTACACTCCAAAAAACAGGGAACCTAGGAAAGTAGCTCTGATACCAAGTGTTATGAGTTGTACTAAGAAGAGTGCGCGGAAGACTTTATAAAAAGGATGAAACTACCGAATGACGAGAATGATAAAGGAACAAGCATTTATAGGGTCGAAACCGTGCTAGGCGAGGACCTCGAGATGTGGTTGGCTTGAAAAATGTCGTGATTGGTGCGGGGCGACTCGGCGCTGGTTCGGTACGAAAGTGTAGGCCGAGCCCAAACTGACGCGAACAGTTCGGGCTGTCCTCGCCAGGAGCTGCCTCTACAGTAATGAATTCATATTCATTACACGTGCCCTCCTCCGTAGTCCACTCCCGTTGTGTAGTGACTCTCCGCATGGTGCGGTGAGCGTGGACGGCCCCGCGTTAGAACCTTCAGATAGCCGACTTTTGTGTTCATTACCTAAGTTGTAATAGGCCGGCAGCCGTCTAGACCGCCATGGTCGACCAGGAGGTCGCAGCAAGCGTAGAGGATACCCTGCAGGCGTGGTTAAATGACGTTCAAGCATGCCACGCAGCTGGCGAGTACGGCGGAGCGAACTTGGATGTTATGCTCTTTGGAACCCGCAAGCAGTGGGTGCGCGATCACTCAACGACCCGTACTGAGGCGGATGGTCTGCCCGCCTCTCCCTGCCACCCTAAATCGGGTCAGTCCAATGATGCATGATTTGGGAAGTCCAGTGATGCATGATTTGGGAATTGTGACGTGAAAATGTGGCGAAACATCGTTAGCAGTAACATACAAAGAATGGTCGGTTTTGGTACGCATTGATGAGGTGCTCAGTAAGGAATAGCCAACAGATTTCTTACACTTAGGAAGTTCAAATAAACATATCCATAAACGAGCGAAGACCGTACGTTGCATTGTGGACCTGACAATAGTTAGACAAGTCATTTGCTTCCAATGACATCTGTGGCACCAATGTTTTGAAGCCATCCTAATAGATAATTCCAGTTTACTCCCAACTGTTTTTATCACCTGTAATTACGCTTCGATCGGCAAGCTAGGTACGTGGGCAAAAGATACACATTGTCCATGAAAAACATATAAAGAAGTATAAGGCTTATGAGCATTCAAACGAGATATATTTGCTCTTAAACAAAATCGGATGACATAAAAACATGCCCGAGCTTTCCCACTTTCCGACGCATTTCGTTGAATGTGGCGACGATGCCACGACCGTGTTGAAATGGTCAACGGAAATTTGTACATTCTTCGAGACGCAGGTGAAGGACGGTGCGACGTCGGGCGAAAAGAGGTGAGCAACTGTAAATTCGTGGGGGAACTGCATCCACTGGGCCGAGGACATACATACAAACACAGTAGTCTGTCCAAGAACAGTATGCTCAGAACCTGTCGTAGATAGACATTCCCTTGTTTTCCTAGCACTTGTTTCTTTCCATGATGCTGATTCCTCCTCGAAGCATGAGCCCGAGTCGTCCAAGTCTCACGCCCGTGATTGCGGCGCCAGCGCGAACACTCTTAACCGCCGCGCTGCTTCTCCTCTTGCTTCAAGTGCATGTCCGCCCGACATTTCTGGAAGCATGTGCACACACAGTACCGCACCGATCCAGGCGCCTAACCGGCGCGGCTTCTGTTACCAGAGCCATGGGACGGGTCGTGCGCTCGCCGCAGCACTCCGCGACGAACTCAGCGGCTGCTGCGACAACCGGCGCAGCTAGTGCGAAAAACGCCACCGGAGTCGCCGCGAAGTCTCCCGCAGCGGCGGGAGGGTGTTCGGCGTCGTCGATCGCAGGCTACACGTCGTCCGTCGCACTCTCCGGATCCGAGTACGGCCTCTCTCGCTTCTCCCTCCCTCCCACTCCCACTCCCACCGCACCATTGTGCTCTCCGATCTGACCCTTACCTTACTTTGACGCTCGCCCGCCTCCTTTCCACGCTTCCCCCCCCTTCCCGTTTGCCCAGTCTCGTGCTCCACTGGGCCCAAGGCGCGGGCGGCGGCAGCCTTTCCCTCGCCATGGAGGTTGGCGGCGCGGCGGCCGGCGGATGGGTGGCGGTGGCGTGGTCGCCGGACGGCAAAATGCCCGGCTCCGACGCCGTGATTGGCGGGCTGCCGGGCGGCGCGGTGAAGGCGTACGCCATTAACGGGTACAGCGAGGCGGACGTGCGCCCCACCACCCGATTCTCCATCGGCGCCGCCTCCTCCGCCAATGGCGGCTCGCTCATCAAGTACGTGACTCGCCGCCGCTGCGAGACTTGACCGTTAGAGGTTGCGTCAGCACGTGACGTCATCGTTGGGGATGTGCTATGTGCGTGCCACTACAGTCGCGTTGTCGTGTCCGCGTGCTGGTACCATCAGTTTTAGTATACCGCTGACTCTAACTCACACGGCTGATGATTCCACGCGGAAATGCGTTTTTTGAAAACTCCACTTCGGTGCGCTGCTCTGTGATTTCCCGCTCGCTGCCGCAGGTTCACTCGGACATCTGGCGACGGCGCAGTGCCGGTGAGCATGATAGGAAGCAACAACCTTATCTGGGCCTTCTCCAGCGATCAGACGCCAACTCTCGCCGACCACGGCGGCAACTTGTACGTCCCTAGCCACGACCTGCTCTCACTCTGCCACCAGCTATCTTCCTGCATCACGAATCTCACCTCTGCTACATCTGCTAGGCATTTATCTACTACCAGTGGAGCTTGTCTTGTGCTCAGCTGTTGCCGAGACCCACGGTCTTCCCACATGGCAGCGCAGACTCTGAAGGTTATTCTTGATTCCCCCCATGCGCCCCTCGTCCCGTTGTGTGCTGATGCCCATGCAGTGGAAAGGCGGTTGTGGACTTCAGCTGCACGGGGTCAACTGGGGGCGGCACTGGGGGCGGCACTGGCGGCGGCACTGGGGGCGGCACTGGGGGGGGCACTGGGGGGGGCACTGGCGGCGGCACTGGGGGGGGCACTGGCGGTGGTAACGGGGATGGAAACGGAGGGGACTATGGTGGGGACTACGGTGATTATGGCGATGGTGGTGATTATGGGGCTGGAGATGGCAATGGGGATGGCGACGGTGGTGATGGTGACTACGACGGAGATGACAATGGGGGTGGTGACTACAGTGATGGAGGCGATGACAATTATGGTGATTACGACGAAGAAGACTATGGTGGAGATTACAGTGCAGAGGATTACGCGGACTATGGCACAGCTGGTTCTGGAGGGAGTGCTGCTGCTAGTACTTTGGCATATGGGAAAATGGGCAAGCTGTGGGGCCGATTCAAGCAGTGGTTGAGAGCAAGAAGGGCTGGTAAGGCTGGCAGCAGGTCAAAGCAGGCCCGCAGGGGAGCAAGAAAGCACGGATTCACGGGTAAGGGGACTGCGCAGGCTGCTACTTCAGGTCACATGGGCGCACGTATGAGGCAGGCAAAACGTGCCCAGAAAACGAGAGTCTAAGGGGGCCCAGGGAGTCAAAGCAGTCAGCAGGGTGAATGGGAGCTTCACTGCTAGGTTGAAGGCGGTGGAGAAGGCACATGCGAGGACGCATAAGCAGCAGGTACAGCACAAGCCATTTGCTGCAGGGCGAGCAGGAGGCAATGCTGGGGGAAACGCTGCACCGGCAGGCGTGATCAAAACCACGGTTGCAGAGCAAACACCGTGAGAATGGAGCTCCAGTTGATTTAGAGGACGGGTGCCAGTGCCACTAGGATCGAGGCAATACAAGCTGGATGGGCAAGGAGGAACACCACACAACCTTTTAGACCTTGTCTCGCTTGTACTGATTTTAAGTATCGCTTGGAGTTTGTAATATTGCAATATTGCAAATTGGTACATTCAGCTAACAACTCCTAAGGTTGAGGGGCATGGGGCGGTGTGGGGCATGGGGCATGGGGTGGTGTGGGGCATGGAGCATGGGGCATGGGGCTGTGTGTGAGGGGGGGGGACGTTTACTATGGGGCTGTGTGGTGTGGGGGAGGTTGCTTACCATGAGATAAGGCATATCCAAAGCCATAAGGTGAGGTGAATTGCGGCGCGGAGTGTCACGTGCTTGCTTGGTGCTGCGGCTGGCAGTCTACCATGAGCCAACACACTCGTCTGCCCTCCTCGTCTGCCCTCCCCTGCCCAACGGACATGGACAGACAACCATGCCCAACCATGCTCCCCCAACCTTCCCTCTCCTCCCCACATCCTCTCCTCCTTCCTCTTCCCCCACCCATAGTGTACGCTCTTGGGTATCCACCTGCTTCTGCTGGTGAGACACCATTCTGATTGTGTGTGTAGCAAACGGATGCAAAGTGGGTGCACGATTACAGCTTTCCTAGAGAGATGTGATCTATGTTTGAGGAATTCAAGTTCCCATTCCCTATCACCTGTCTTATGGGTACTGTACATGGGTTGACGCGCAATCAGAAATGTTTCAGAACGAACGTTGTTACAGCTATGTAAGATCGAGATTTCCACACCAACCTGCAGCTCGCGTCGTATTGACCTTCAACGGCAGCACCAAGTCCTTTCTGGGGTCCAGTAATCGTGTAGTTCCACCGTTCCGGTTCAACGCGGTCCTGCGTGCGCTTCTTCATGCCCCTCCACTTATCGCGCTTCTGCTTCTCACTGAACCAGCACCACGGTTCAACCTCTCTTCAATCCCGTTGTGCACCGCCCGCCACCACCGGAAGGCAACGCCGTTCACAAGCTTGAGGTCATACAACGATGATACCAGGTTGCAGTCAAAAGTTGCGGAAAGATGTTGGAAATGGACACTGGAATGGCCCAAAGTGGTCTTCATAAATGCTACTGGTGTCGTCCTGGGGGGATTTGGGGGCGCTGACCCACCAAGTAAAACATGCCCTTTTATCCTAATCGTTAGCGGACTGGAATGCTATCTCTGCATGGTGTGGTGAGCGTGGAGAACCGCGGTTCGATTCCTGCTGTCAACAATTTCCTGTGCCCTAGTGGTGGGCCCTCCCAGTGAGGGGAGTGTTGGAAATGGACATTAAAATGACCCAAAGTGGTCTCCCTAAGGGCTACAAGTGTCGCCCTGGGGAGGTATGGGTGTGCTAATCCACCAAGTAAAACATGCCATCTTATCACATTCGGTTAACGGACTCGAATGCTATCCATGCAAAACACACCCAAGCCTTCCCCAAGGCAATGAACCATGTGCATCTGGAGAGGGGTCAGACGCGAAAAGAGCCTTCTGGGCAGCCAGGCCCCCGTCGGGATCACGGCGGCCGTAGAGTGGTCTGTGCCTGAGAAGGTTGCTATAGTCTGGTAAGCTCTATCACCAGGGGTATGCATTGTTCATAAAGCCCTGGTAGGACCAAGGAAGGAGGCATGTGGAGAGTTGGAAACAGGAATTTATTGTTTGGGCTCGCATGGCTTCAGTTCAGGCAATACGACACATCCTGGTGATTGAAGATGTGGACTTAAGTCGAGACATTCTGCCAATGCATGCAAGCCAAGAGACATTGCTGGTGTGCTGATGAGTATTGGCATATAATTTTCATCCAACACTCAAATTCAAGCAACCAGGAATGGAGTACCTCCCCACCAAAGCAGCTAGCATTCACACCTAGAATTCATGGTTGTACCACACTAGGTAGAGGATGTTGGCACAGAGAATCGCGTGCGTGTAGAGGGAGGGCTCGATTACCATGAGGCCTCCGTTGAAACGAAAGTCATCGTTGCCAACCGCGGAGAGCTCGTTCAGGAGGAAGAGGGGCATGAGGGAGCTAAAGGGCATGAATTCCGAGTCTATGTACACGATGCGCTTGAACTCTACCAACTCCCACTAGAGCAATTTGTTGTGTAAGGGTGCCATCAAGACAGGAGGAATCATGGGGGGGGGAGGGGAGTGGGAGAGAGGAAAGCAATGCAGGAAGAGATCATGGGTGGGTGAGAGAGCCTTATTCTCTACTCCTCTCCTCTCACGTCCATAGTTCATCCCCATTTCATCTCACATCTTGACCATCTCCCGCATATTGACATCCATTCGCACGTGCGCATATCTGAAGTTATACCCACTGTATGGATCGGGATTGGCCAACAGGCTCCTTATTCCCACTATCTCCATTATCCACCATCCCAACGAGTCAAGCCTTCTTCGGCTGTCTGCGTTGAGCTCCGCAGATACCATCGCCTCTACGGGCTGCGCCGTGCCTTCGTCGATGTTGGCGTTGCTGCCGCTGGCGACCAACGGGGGCTGCAGCTCGAGGCGCGTGGTGCGGAGGGCATGCACTAACACGAAGGCGCTGCACACGTACTCGTCCTTGCTGTGGAGCATTGTCACGAAGGCGAAGCGCGGGGGTGTGGCGGAGGGAGAATGCGACGGCTGGAGGGGACAAGCGGGGGCGAGAGGCGGGAGAGGGGATAATCTGATTAAAATATTGATGGAAAGCGACAAGATCGCCGGACACGATCGTTGTGCCCAAGCTGCTAGAAGGTCGACATAACCTCCTGGTATGGTGGGATTCGACTAAGCCGCAGCTGGAGATCGCCAAGCTGAAGCAGTTCGCTGATGGTGATGTGGAGATGCCGCCCAAGGCCGATGTCGAGCTGCGGGCGGAATTCCATTCTGCTCACTTGCAGATCTTCGTGGTCATCTTGCGCCGCTGCTTGTCACTAAAACAGGTGGCCCTGAAGCTGTGTCGATCTTCGTGTGGATGCCGCCCACCAAGCGTGACAGGTTTATCATGCGCACGTCCAAGCCGCCCAACAACCTATGCATCGGCCAGCTGGAGCAGCAGCTGACCAATATCTGGATGGCCGACTAGGAGGCAGCGATGGATTACTGCAATCGTGCTCAGCGGATTTTGGCCGATACGCGAATGGCCGGGGTCGACTACTCGGCGGCGTCGTACATCACCCACGTCGTCAAGGGCCTCCTCAGGGGATACAGCCTGACGCGCCAGATGCTCCATTCCCGGCACAGGTGAGTCACTAAACGAGGACTCGCTGTCAAGCCACATCATCAATGTCGAGTTCATGCATATGCGGTAGGCCTAAAAAGCTCATTCCGCAGGCTAACTACGTCGCCACGACGAAGCGGGGGTAACGCGGGAAGTCGAGCGAGGGTGGTAGCGGAGGTGGGAAGTCAACAAAAGATGCCGACCGGACAAATTCGGCTCGGGGCACCGACTGCAGTGGAGGCGGTCAAGGACGCCAAGAATGTTGGGTCTGTAGCGACCGTGACCACCTCTCCTCTGGATGGCCCGATCGTGAGGATTTTGACGACGACGACCAAAAGGGAGGCCGCGGGAGGCTCGACGGCGATCGTTAGTGTCGGGACAACAAGCTGCGCAAGGTGAAGCAGACGTCGTTGGCGAAGGACGCGAATTCCTCCATCGGCGGCAAAGCTTGAGGTGACGGAGAGGCGTCGTGCTCGATGGTCGGCGTGGTGGAGCCGACGGTCTAACTGGCGCTGGAGACGAGCGAAGACTACAAGGGGTGCTCTCGCCATCTGATGGGGACGAAGGAGACCTTTTGCGACATGCAATCGAACAACGACATGTGCCACGTGTGCTGCTTCAACGGGGCGATCCAGGTCGTCCAAGGCTGGGGCACCGTCGCTCTGCAAGGGAAGGCCGAGAAGCAAAATTTTGACCCTGGCGTGCTATATGTTTCGGGAGTGCAGACAAACCTGCTGTCGGCCCGCAGCTGAAGGATAGTAGCGCGGAGCTGCATGACATCGACGATGAGTTGTTACTTATCTCGGTGGTGGGGAACGTGCTTGGTCGGGCGCGCTACACAAAACGGGTCCTTTGCGCCGACCTTCGCCCTTGCGCATCAAAGTTGAGACAATCAAGAGCTCGGGGAAGCACGAGGTTGCTACAGGTTGGACATCAAGCCGTCGGCTGGGGCCGACCTGCCGTGTGTCTCCTTTATCAGCAGCAAGCTCTCACGGCACGCCTTCCACGAGAATTGCTCGTACGCCGAGGACGCCCTGGCCCTCATGCACATCGACCTCTGTGGGCCGTTCTGTGTCGCTGCCAAGGATGAGAGCCTCTATTTTTCTTGCTCAAGGACTGGAAGATGTGCTATGTGTGGATGTGTCCAGTCACCAAGAAGAGCGAGGTGCTCTATGCGTTCGACAAGTGGTTGATGGTCGTGGAGCAGCAAACCAAAAAATATGTAATGATACTCCGCTCTTACCACAATGGCGAGTTCCTAAGGAAGGTGTTCACCGACTTTGTCGATGGCAAAGGAATCATTCACGACCTGACTTGCCCGTGTCAGAGGTCCACTGGTGATCCCCGATGATCCTAGGGAAGGGTTACAGGCACGTTGGTCTGGGGGGTTATGGGCGCACTCACCCGCTACACAAACAAGCCCTTTTATCCCAGTGGTTAGTGGCTGGGATTCTGACATGGTATCAGAGCGAAGGTCTCGGGTTCGAATCCCGGTGTGTGCACCTCGGGCATCCCAGTGCGGGGGGGTGTCAGAGGTCCACTGGTGATCCCCGATGATCCTAGGGAAGGGTTACAGGCACGTTGGCCTGGGGGGTTATGGGCGCACTCACCCGCTACACAAACAAGCCCTTTTATCCCAGTGGTTAGTGGTTAGGCCTGCGGGGCTGCTGCGGGCTGCGCTATAGCGGTGCGAGCGGCGCACGGGCGGCTAGCCGGTCGCGCTCAAAAGAAATCGGCCGCGCGCGGGCAGCTA